TAAAAATAATTATTCTTTTCCTTTTATTATTCACACACTCTTGACCCTAAACATTTACTTACTCATCTATTACATTCAATTAGATTGACTCCTATAGTCTCAAACGTGTAAAGAACACTTATAGTCTCACATGTGTAAAGAACATCTACCTTTTTTCACTTAAAATAAGAAATAAACGCAATTGTTACCTCCAAATCCCTCCTAAATATTTTAGCATAGCGTGATGTTATCAGCTTTATCAAACAAAATATAAACCTGAGAAGGTTTATCTTAACTGACTTAATAAAAATGTAATTGTTAATCACCTACAAGGAATTGGCCATTATGTTAATAAATACATAAAAACATTGTGTACATAAATACCTTAAGTTGAAGACAAAAATGGGTTAATCTTATAAAACTTACCATAAAGTGATATACTAATAATATTAAACCATAGGTCCCTTTATAAAAAATTGCTACTATTTCATTACTATTAGTTAGAAATTATTACTAATTATATCAAATTATATTAAACCTGTTACTAATTACTAATAATATTTATATTATATTATATAAAATAATATTATATTGTATATTACACATACAACATAATTTCCCTTACAAATACAATAGTCTCTGCCAAACAGACTGGTTAACGGCAAGCTATACTCAGGACATTTGTATCCCATTCGCAACAGTTAAGTGGGATACTACCAATAGCTATAAAAATTCGCTTCAATGATAATTTCTGTCTGACTAAATTCATCTAATTTATACAAAAGGAATACTAATGACCTGTTCAATTGAAGCAGTGCCTACTCAGTACTACTGTACCGGTACTGACAGCAACATGCATACTAGAAAGACATATAATGAGACTTGTTTTATCGCATAAAAATTTTTGTCGTGACTGCGGTTCTGCAGAGATGGAAGCAACTGTGTTTTACTTTATATATGTGTGCATGTCTTTGACCTAAACTGTAAAAGAAATAATATCTTTGCGTGTCTCTTTCTAACCAACCTAATAAAATTCTTCTCTAACAAAATTGAGGATATGGTCATATATATATATATATAGACCTAACTTGTTAATTAATTTTCAAATTGCTTTTTATCAGTGTATTTGTATGAAATTGGGCTTAACTGTGCAAAATCACTACTCCAACCTAACCTAACCTATCTAACCAGTTAAAAGAACTGAGTGCCACCATTTGCAAACATTCTACCAGCAAGTACAAAATCAAATATGATTTTAGAAAGTTATTATAAATCTTATTGATCTATAAATCAAAAATTATTATAAAACAAATTATTATAAAATTTGGTACTCGTTACCAACACACATAGGAACTTAGATCTTCTGAAGAATTTTCTGTCGCTACACTGTATAATGAAAAATTTATAGAACATGATTTTCCGTTGTTAAGCAAGGTGGTTGTCGTTAAATTTTTGATCTGGGTTGTCAAACATAAGGCAAACCAAAAATGATGACGATAAAAAAATAGTTGGACACAGAAAGTTCAGATCTTATAGTATCTTATAATAAAAGAGCAATTTATTAAAGAGATTTTATGCATTTCATTGCTATGTATGAGAGTAGGGCCTGTTAGTATCAGGTAGTATCAGACATAAGTGCGAAATGAAAAAACAAATTTGTTGATAGTGTGGAGGTTACACTATAAAGCAATAATAATCATTTTTCATGAAGACACTCAGAACACTACCGAAAAGACTATCGATAAAAACAGTGTGTTAATGACTATCGATAAAAACAGTGAGTTAAAGTATGAAATATTACTATACCAAAAGTATTCACCACGTTCAGCTTCCTCAAAATTTTGTTTAT